TGCTCAGCTCTGCCCTGCGCCACCGGGGCAGGGACCCTGCCAGCCCCAGAAACATCAGCTGCGGCGAGCCCGGGCATGCAGGGCTGGACCCAGGGCTGTCAAGGGCACACCCAAACCGAGGGAGGGAGGGGACGTGTACACACAGTGCAGCACCTGGCAAATGCTCCCAGCCCACAGGGCAGCTGCCCAGTACGGCCAAGGGGCCTGCCTGGCTGCCCTTTGCCCACAGCTGCCTGCATGCTCTGCTGTTTGTGCCCCTTGGGGCAGCCACCCGCCACAGCTGGAATTCTGCCCGTGGAAGGGCTTGGGTGCCCGAGCCTGTCGTGAGTCGTAGGCTGGCCAGGCCTCACCACGTGGCAGTAGCACCCACGAGCGCAGGCAGTGGCTCAGTTCCCACCCAGGGAGACACTGGCTCCAATCTGCAGAGCAGCCAGGGCCTCAGTCCAGCCCCCAGCCTGTGCTCCAGCCACCCAGGCCTCCTCTTCCGCCACAGGCCTGGCTCTGGGGAAACACGACTGCCGGGCTCACTGGCCGCTTTAGCCCCACGCCCACGGGGGGACACTGCCCAGCGCACACTGAGGACAAGAATGTTCCTTGTGCTGTGACAGGCACCCACAGCCCAGCAGCCAGCCCACGGGAAGGGCTAGGCACCCTTGGGAGGTAGCTGGAGGGTGCACTGAGGAAAGCAACCTGGACTTGGCCATCGGGAAGATCAGAGCCCAGCACCTGCCAGCCCACCTGCATGGTGCCACCCTGGGCTGGCACATCCTGCAGCTAGGCTGGAAGGAGCAGATTAGACTGAGACACTCCTGTCTGAGAGCAGGACTGGATTTTATTGCTAGTGTAGAAGGAAAGCCTCTCACCCCCCCCCCCTTCTCTGGGAGGGGGAGGAAGTTGTGTAGCTAACAGAGGAAGTTAAAGCCACTCCCCCCACCCCGGACATGCCCTGCTTTCCAGCTGCTCCGATTAACAAGGCTGAAATTCTGCTTCCCTCCAAGCCAACCCTAGCCTTCCCCGCTGGAGCGGGCGGGGGTTCCTGCAGCCGTGAGCAGGGCCTAGACAAAACCAGAGGGGGAGGGCAGGACAGGCCAGGTCAGCCGCACTGCAGGCAGGCTCAGCGGCCGCAGACGTGGACCATTTGGGCTCTGTCCTTCCTCAGCGCCAAGCCCCATCTGAGCCAGCTGCCCCATCGCGGCGGAGCACGTGGGCAGGGGGTGGGCCCTGCCACACAGAGGGACCGGAACTGGCTTGCCCAGGCTGCACAAAGCCCCAGGAGAGCCAGGATTAGCCCCAGGTTCTCAGACATGCCTCTCTGATGAGAGGGCTGCCCATGCCTGAACAGATAAGGGGGCTGGGGAAGAGGCAAGCGCCTTCCCCCAGGGGCCTCATTTCGGGGGGCTGGCTCCAGCGGCCCCCAGGTTCTCCGCTGGGGGCGGGCGCAGGTGAGAAAGGTCCACCTGGGCTGTATGCGAGAGATGGGTGCTGGAGAGCAGAGAAGCCCAAGGACTTCCCCCTGTGGCGGGGCCTAGACACCATAGTGGGGGTGCAGGTTGTCAATCACAGACTTCATGAAGTCCGAGGTGGTGGAGTAACCGCCCATGTCCCGCGTCCGCACCTACAAATCCAACACAGGGAGGGGAGAAAGAAGGGAGACGTGGGCATGAACCCGGGCAAACGAGCACAAGGTGGGACAGCGAAGCAGCTTCCCCCAGCCCCTGCTCCCCCTTCTGAAATCCCCTGCGCCCCCACCCAGCTCTGCTGCACACCAGACACGCCCCCACCTAGCCTCAGCACCCCCAAGCCAGCAAGAAGGTAGCGGAGCCGAGCCAGGCCCTAAGCACAGTGACACGCAGTGGGGGTCACAGTCACTCTGGTTGCTGTGTTGTGCTGGGTGATTCCTACTGGCCGGTGCTGCTCTGTTGTAACCCGTGTGTGTGCCTCAGTTTCCCCAGGCGGATGGGAGTTTTGGGTGTGACTCTCACGGAGGGGAGGCTGCCCCGTCTTAGCACGTATGCAGCAATAGCTCAGGCTGTCCTGTGACCTGAGCCTGGGTGGGGGAAGCAACCAGGTGACATCAGTTGGAAGGCTGGGGGGAAGGCTGGAAAGGAGGGGGCAGGGCCGCCTGCAGGGAGGGGGGCAGGGCGCTGGCTCGGGTCCCCCATCCCCCGGACGGGCTGAGCTGCCGACTCCTGGTTCCTGGAACAAGTCTGGGCTACACTGTGTCCTTGGAACCAATAAACCTTCTCTTCTCCCTGCCGCCTGAGAGTCCCCGCTGGCTGCGGGGGGGGAGCAGGGTCCAGAGACTCCCCACACTCCGTGACACTCGGCCCCAGCCACAGCCTGGCCATTGCTACAAGGACGGCCTGCCCGGCGCAGGGGCAGCTGTGAAAGCCTGGGAGGGCAGTGACCTCTGCTTGGGGCTCTGTGAGCTCCCCAGCCCTCAGGAGTCCCCGCACGCGGCCAGTCCCGGGCTGGGGCAGGGGCAAGCAGCGTGCTGTTCTCCCTCCAGGGGCGTGAGCAGGCTCCGGAGAGGAAGCAGAGCCAAGCAGCAGCGCAGGGGCTCAGCGCAGCCCCGTACTCACTTTGCCGACTTTAATCACCCTCTTGACGGCCTCGGCGATGACGTTGGAGTGGTACTCCAGGCTGGCAAGGAGAGCACATGGTCAGCGCCAGGCCTGCCTTGCCCATGGGCTCAGCCCCTCCCCAGGCTGGCCTGGCCCACGGGGGCACAGGCACGGAGCGAGAACCAGCACCTACTTGAGATGGCGCAGCATGTTGGAGGCGGAGAGCAGCATGGCGGTGGGGTTGGCGATGTTCCTGCCGACGGCCTGGGCAAAGGGATGGCGGGCGCCCTGCACACAGAACCACAGTCAGGCCACAGCCGGGGGCGGGCTCAGTCCAGGCCCGTCCTGCCCAGGCGGGGCGGAGCCACCGGCGTGGAGCAGAGGCACTTCGGCACATCCCTCACCATCTCAAACACGGCGTACTCGGCGCTGTAGCTCTCCCCGGGAACCACGCCGGCACCGCCCACCAAGCCGGCAGCTAGGTTGTCAACGATGTTTCCGTACAGGTTTGGCATGACCAGCACATCAAACTGGTGGGGGTCCTGCACCAGCTGCACGGAGGGGGACAGACGCGGCTGTACGTGAGACCCTCCTGCTACGGAGCAGCGTGGGCTGGCGTGCTCGGCTGCGCGTCACGGGACCCCAGACTTTGGGGCTCCGCAGTGTGACTGGAGTCACCCACAGAGCTCAGCATGTGCTGGGCTGGCACTGGCAGCCTAGTGCCTGTGATCCGAGCGGCAAGCTACGTATCACAGCGCCCCAGGCTCGGTGGCAGCACAGGGAAACGGAGACGACCACACGGCTGGCCTGGAAGCCCCAGCAGCCAAGGACCAAGAGGTAGAGAGAACATCACCCCGTCACATATCCCACCGACAGGGCTGCGGCCCTGCGGGCGCTCAGAAAAAAGCCTGGCCAAACTGTCACTCAGCCGTACCAGCCTGGCAACTTGGGTACCTCTGAGCTGTCCTCGGGGGATTGATGGTGGTGCAGAATGCACTCATCCATCAATCACTCCTGCAGGCAAGCAGAGTTCTGCCTGCCTGGCTTATCGGCCCGATCAGAGGCGCGCCTGCCATCTCCCCCGGAGGGTGACAGTGACGCGCTGCACCCCTCACAAAGCTGTGGCCCAGACACGCTGAGCGGCACCTGCCCGGGTCTCTACTGGCTTTGTGCGAGCAGATTGTCAGTGACAGAGGTGCAGCATGGACGCCCGAGGGGCCAGGCCTGGGAGCCAGTCTCACCTGCATGCAGCAATTGTCAATGATCATGGTGTCAAATTCAATCTTGGGGTACAGTTCTGCCACCTCTTTACAGCACTGGAGGAAGAGCCCGTCCCCCAGCTTCCTGAGGAAAGAGCGACCGGCCTTCAATGGGACTGGCTGCCCAGGGTGCGTACGTCCGGCAGGAGCCCCCCACGCTGCCGGGCCGGAGCCCCACACAGGGGTCCAGGCATGTGCAAAGCACGAATGCCAGGAAGCGCCGGGGGCACTACGCTGCTGCACAGCAAGGCTGTCCCGGGGACAGACAGGGTGCTGGGCGTCGGCTGGGCCCCCGGCTTGCCCCACTCACATGATGTTGGCTTTGTGCACGGCGGTGACCTTTGAGCGCCCTTTCTTGGTGGCATAGTCGAAGGCGAACTTGGCGATGCGCTGCGACTTGTCCCGGGTGATGATCTTCAGGCACTCGATCACGCCCTTGACGCTCTGCATGTCGATGGCAACGCGCTAGTGCTCTGGCGGAGCTGCCCGCGCCCCTCCGCCCAGCCAGGCCACAGCCTGGCTACTGCCCTGGGCCAGCACTGCACCAGGCTCCAAGCGGAGCCAAGTTTAACTCCATCTCATCCCTTTGGGGAAAGGATGGAAGAGACCTGGTGCGTCCCCCCTGGCTAACACTCAACACCATCGCGAGACAGCCCGGCCTCGGGGGTCACTGGGGGCTCTGCCCAGGCCAGCACGTCCCCCAAGCACCACTTCTCCCAGGGCAGGAAGCCCCTCCCCGGCGACAGTGCTGCCAGTCACAGCTCCTGTCTAATCCCTCTTCCTCCTCGTCCAGGGCTTGCAGATAGCGCTAGCCCTCCGCACCACCTTGGCTGTGCAGTCTAGCTACCAGCCCCTTCTCTTCAGCCCGTCCCTCCAGCAGCACGTCATGCCCTGCCTCTGCTTGGGTCGGACCGTTTATCTGAGTTAACGCACAGGAAGGCTCTTACCCACAGCCCCACGCTCCCCAGCAAAATTCCCAGGGTCTAAGGCAGCGCCGTGCGGGGAGTACCAGACAACGCCCAGGGCGCCTTCCCTACCTCGTGCTCCAGAGAGCTGTACTCCCCCTCCGTCTGCTCACGAATGATCACGAGATCCAAGTTGTTGTGTCGTGTTTTAAAACCAGGTAAACTGTTCACATGGACGACGTTAGCAAACAGGTCTAACTTGCGCCTGTGAGAGGAACATCAGGGTCAGAGCCCGAGTCCCCCCCCGTCCAGGCCAGTAACACGCACCATGCGACGCACAGACCCGGCTTGACAGGGATGGTGGAGACACTTCCATGGAAGCCTGGCCCCTTGCTAATCCCATGTCCCTCCCCCAGTGAGCCCTCTGTGTGGCGTGTCCACAAAGTCATCCTGGACCCTCCCACCTTCCGGAGCCATGGTGCCCAACACGCTAGCCAATAGCCACATGTGGCCAGTTGAGTGTGGTTCGCTTGCTCTCATAGTGGCCACTGCTTCAGAACTGGTGGGACACGACAGTCCTAGCGGGACTGCAGGTCACCACAAGAAGCAGAGTGCCCAGACCATAGCGCTTGGCCAGCAGAGCCTTTGCGGATAACCTGTGAAGCGCGTCGCTGCCCAGGGCTCCCAACCTGTGCCAGTGGCCCACGCGGCCTCAGAACACGCGGAACGACTGGTCAGCAGGAGACAAACACACCTGAGCCTCATGTCATAGGAGGCCAGTTCTCCTTTGTACTCCATGGGCGTGTGGATCTTTCCTGCAATGACAGAAATGCCAGCGGAACTGGTAGGAAAGCACATGTACAAAGCGAACTGCTGGCGCTGTGCACCCCTGCAGCCCGGGGGTGCTGTCTCTACCCTTGGGGAACAGGCTTCCAGTGCTGCCCAACAGGAGAGAGCCCCCGGGTAGCCAGCTGTCAGGCCTCGTAGTGCCTCGGCCACATGTCCCGCAACCCAGGGCCTCCGCAGAATCTCTCTAGATTTACACCCCACCACGAGATCAGAAGCACCGCCTATTTAGCTTGCTGCAGGCAATCCAGAGACACCTGATCTCTAAGTAACCACAGCAGTGGGGGCCAAGGAGCCTGCCTCTCCTCACAGCCGTCTGCTGGGGCCAGGGGAAGTGCAGGGAATGTGCAGATGTGCTCCTCTGGCCCCAGCCTCTGTGCTCTGGGCCAGCCCTGTGTGGTGGGTGGGGCTCCACACACTTCAATCCCCACCTAGCCACCCTGAGCCCCTCCCACACTCCAATTCCCTCCCCGCCCCCCCCCCGACATTGTATGTGAGGAATGCATTTTGTTATGTGCACCAACATGGAGGGGCCATGCCACACAACATCACCAAATCAGTGCACATCACAGCGCATTCGGCACATGGGCGTAAGGGAGGGGAACACGCTGCTGGGGAGAGGAGCAGGGAGGCAGTGGAGGGCTGGGGCAAAGAAGGACCAGAGGAGGCAGCAGGGGCCAGGAGGAATGGCTAGAGGAGGCAGCTGAGGTCGGGGAAATGAGGGCTGGGAAGCCCAGGGACGAATCTCGTGGCCCTGCAGCAAGAGCTCAACGCCTGGCAGCTGGGGGTCGGAGCCTGCCATCATTCAGGCTGGAGCCTGAAGTCCCAAGGTTGGCACCTGGGGCTGGAGGCGGCGGCAGGGGTACTGGGGTGAGTGGTGAGCCTGGGACCCGGGCCCAAACTCCTGTAGCTGGGGTTCTGAGCCCAAAACCCTGCAGCCAGAGCCTGACCCCACTACCAAGGCTGAATCCAGGAGTTGGGAATTTACACTGGGAACGTTCTCCGGTGTTTGTGGCTCCAGAGGGAGGCAGGGCCTGAGGCTGCTGGCTCCCTTAGGGAAGGGGCCTCTGCTTCCCCCGAAGCCTGACCCCAACCTCTGCCCAGGAGGCTGCGGCTGCCAGGAAAGCAACTTTCACTTCCCAGCCAAGGGTCAGAAAGGACCCGCGACTGGGCAGCTGAGACTCGCCAGGCCTGTTTTACAGATGGGCAGCAGAGGCACAGAAGTGAAGTGAGCTTCAGGGTGGCAGAGCTGGAAACAAACCAAGAACACTGGCAGCAGGTTTCCTTCTCCTGCGGGCAGCCCACAGTAGCCCTGCAGTCAGAGCATGGTTTGGAGGCGGGGGGAGATTTCTGTAGCACAGCATGGGCCCAAGTCCACGTGCACCTGACCGGTGCAGGGAGCTGCTGCCATCTCATACCTATAAGGGCCACTTTACTCTCCCTCATGGAGTCGACCACCTCATCCAGCTTTTCCTCTGACGCCGTGTTCTGCACTTCGCTCAGGTGGTGCTCATCGAACTCCACAGGGACGCCCGCAGCCTGCCCGATACAAACACAGACGTAAGGGCGCAGCGCTGCCGGGGCCGCGGTCAGTACAACCCTTTCTGTATTAGCCAAACGAGCTTCGTGACGGGATGGACCACGAGACTGGGAGAGAGAGCAATGCGCTTCCTGGTCCCTCGCTGTGTCTAGGCCAAGCACGGTGCATATCAGGAGAGGAAGGGACCGGATGTAGCATCGAATGCGTTTAGGCAGCATTAGACGTAGAACCCTTAGGTCTCTCGCAGGGGGTTATCGTGTTAGAGAGCATCCTGGCACTACTCAAGACTTGAGATTTTATTAAATCGAGTGCATTTCTGATTACAAACCAAGGCTTTTATCTACCCACTGCTGTCCAGGAGCAGGTAACAGCCCTGCCCGAATAGGGTAGGAGCCACACACGCAAGACAACTCCTGCCATTATGTCATTTCTCCATCTTCCCCGCAGGCTCAATGAGGAGCAAGTGGCCATTACCTTGAACACCTCTTTGACAGAATGCATGAGCTCTGGGCCAACCCCATCTCCAGGTAGCATGGTGACCTTGAACATCCCTTCACTTTTCTCTGACTGGAACAGGAAACAAAAGGGTTTAAGTCTCCACCACCACCCTATCCACTGTCACACACTGTTTGCAACACTGCTCCCCTTCCCGTGACCTTGCTCTCAGAAGAGGGAGGTGGCTCTCATGTGCTACATGCCAGACAGTTCTCATCTTGCTCTCTCTCAAAATGCCGGGGGGGCGCTTTACCTACTTCTCTCAGCGCACAGGTACGCTCCCCTTTGGTGGAGCTAGCACCAGGGTTTGAGTCCTTACAGCTTTCCAAAGGTGACTGGGGATTGCTAAGTCAGTATCTCCGGAAAACACCTGGCCTCTGATGCTGGAGAATACAGGAATGTCACAAAAGAAACTGACTCAAGACTCACTTAGTATCATTCAGTTCCCCCATGAAACTATGATGGATTAAATCAAATCGGACCCAATGCCCAGCACAAAGCTTGCTACATAGGGCCAGATGTTGCATGGTATGTGTTCCCTGTATCCAGGAGACAGCTTTACCTTTAATCTAAACCACATGACATTACTATATAAAAAGTAACGAGAGTGTCTATATATAAGAGCTCATTTTCCTTCTCTCTTGCTGGAAAAGGAAGCAAAAATGACAGAGCGCCCAGGTTTAATACAGGAGACCATTAGTCCAGCCACTCCTGTACTGCACAACACTTGATGCTTCCAAAGAAGAGGACAAATCTTTGTACATCTGGCCACTGCTGTCTACAGGACCAAATATCTTTAATAACTGCAGGGATCAACCGAGGAGCCGAATCATAGGGTTTTATTCCTCCTTTTCACCACAAACTTCTATAGAAGTCTGTTACACACTGAGCCAGCCCTCTTCAAAATATGACTTTTGTATTTGACCTTTATTTGCTGTCTCAATAAATGATGGATCCAGGACTCTTTATTGGTTCAAAATTTACCTGTCACTAATTTTCAGCGAACCATGAGACAATTTTAAAAAAAAGACACTAATCAAGTCATAAATCCCACCAGACAAGTCCCCTAAGTCATCTCTCACCATATGTAAACCCTTCCCCAGGACTTCTGATTACCCCCTCTGCACTCCTATACCCCAAGCATTCAAAAACCCAGGGAAAAGCTCCAAAAGGTCACAGTTTAAGAAACAGGATTGTTGACATTTAAATAATGTGGCAAACTTTCTTTGCCTTCTGGATTTTGAGTTCACAATTTTAAATTCTTCACTGCACCATGAGACCTGCTAAGAGCTCCCTAATTTTAAAAGCTCAGACGCTCATGTAATCATTTGACTCTAGGCATAGGGGCGCTAAGAATCACACCAGTCATGAGCTGGTGACATTGGGATGCAGTGACCAGCAGTGCCCCTCGCGGCGCAGACTTGCTGAGCTCTCCAGATGAACGCGGCAGCATTTCCTGGGTTACTGCCCCTAGAGCCTGTCGTGCCTGCTCAGCACTTTACTGCTGCGGTCCCGGCACCTTTGCCGCTCGGCCTGGAGGAAGAGCCCAGCCGGCTCTGTGGGGGAGC